ATGTACTGGTAATGGTTATGTTTAGGGGTATGTACTGGTAATGGTTAGGTTTAGGGGTATGTACTGGTAATGGTTAGGTTTAGGATAAGGGTCAGGATTAGGCTATAGAAATGATTTAAAAAATGAATGGAAGTCAATGCAAAGTCCTTGTATAGACAGAAAGAAACGTGTGTGTGTGTGCGTGTGTGTGTGTGTGTGGAGGGGTGTCCTTTTACAGAGTACAAAAATAAAATAAAAAAGTTCAAGACAGAAAGAACTGGACTTTATTTCTAACAGGAGAGGTTTCTCTTCTCATCCCATGAGCTCGGATGAGAAGAGAAACCTCTCCTTCTTCTTTTGTCTTGAACTTTTTTGAATTTACTATGTCAAGAACAAAAAAAAAAAGTTAAATCATTTCATCTGGACCAATTTACCATGTCCTGACCTGGATGATTGAATCTTCACCAGTTCGAGTAATCGCGCGGGGCCTGTTCGACCACCAGGGGGCGATAACGCTCCGTTATTTGAGCTTGCAAGCTCCGCCCATGAGGAGCTGGGTCATGTGACCAAGAGCCTTTTCTCTTACTGCACAAACAGCTGGTTCTTAGTTGAGAGGGAGAAGAGAAAGAGAGCGGACGGAGAGCAGGCTGGAGTTTGTTTACCTGTTTTCCACTCGGACGAGGCGGAGTAACAACAACTGCATCATTTTCGAGACGTTATTATTCGACTACGCTGGAATTATTATATTACTTCTTTTTTTTTTTAATCTGTCGATTTATTTTTTTTCTGCTTTGGTCACTTTGGACTTGTGGATCACGCTCGGATCTTCCATTTAATTTAAAAAAATTTTTTTAATGTGAAAGTCTTGTCTGACTGAACTAGATTCGGAGTTCGCGGGATGTCGGGTCACTGCCATGTGTAGTCCATCCAGGTGAGTTTTCGGACTCAGCGGAAAATATGTTCTGCTGTTTTCTGACCTGACGTTTTGATGCACGTTTTCCAGCAGACACTTATTTACTGACGCTAAAAGCTCATGGACTGCAGCGGCCTTTGTCTCCAGCGATGCGTAAAATGCATTTTATTCGCCGAACAGAGTCCAAAAGCGTGGCACATTGCGCAGTGCGTGTTTAGTTTTTCCACAACACACCAGCTGACAGTTCCTAAACTCTCTGCACTTCTAATTTGCCTAATCACAATGATCTCACCGAGTTTTATGAGTCAGCTCAAGAACTGTCACGAGGCTTAACCATTTCCTTTACTGGCATTAATACAACAATAGATGTAAGTTTTGCCTCTTTAAACAGTACATGTTTGTGCGTAAGTGCGCACTCTCCAGTGGGAGGTGCACACGCACTTGATTTTGCAAAAAGGGAAAAAATGCCAGCAGAATGCACAATCCAGTTTGTGCAACTTCCGTATTATCCTGCACGCTTTGATATGCTCGTGTTACTGGCAAAGCTCTTGTCCTCCTCCTGACGTTCTCACCCGCGCCGAAATATTCATATTTGCGTGACTGGACCAGTGCGTCCAGTTTGAGCGTGTTTCCTTGGTGAGCAACCCGTGCGTCAAAACATGACATCCATCCAGGTCAGAGAGCGCTTGAAGAGCTGCAACTTTAAAGTTTGAAAATGTTTTGACAGGGACATGGATGTTTGCAGCTGTGCACATGTGTACTCATAGAGCGCCTGCAGAACTGTTTTCAAAAAGTTTAAGGTTATTTTTGTCAAGTAAAAACTTTTTTTTTTTTTTATTAAAGTACATGCTTAGCGGCTTAATTTCACTTCATTCAACAGAAAGTTCCCTGGTAGAAATAATATATAAAGATTTAAATATCCATCCATCCATATCTTTTATGGGGATTACCGGTGCCCATGTCCAGCATTCACTGTGAGGGGCGGGGGACACCCTGGACAAGTCTCCAGTCCATCACAGGGACACATAGAGACAAACGAGACAAACAACCATTCACTCTCTCACTCACACCTAGAGACAGTTTAGAGTTACAAATCAGCCTAACATGCATGTTTTTGGTCTGTGGGAGGAAACCGGAGTACGGAGAGAACATGCAAACTCCACCCAGATTTCAATAATTTGCTATTTCTCCCAGGCCGGTCTGTGATGCAGTTGAAGTTCTCACTAAAATGAAAACCGCTCCCTTCGTGTGGGATTTGTATTTTCTCCTTCATAATAAAATGAAGACTCGTCATAATCAGCAGATTCTGAGAAACGGTGAAGGAGGCCAGTCTGGACAGGAGGCCCTGCACCCAACTCCGTGCGCGTTTCATGGAGTCGGCTGCCACTTGAGCTCAAGTAACTCAGAACATGAACAACACAGTACTTGTATAAATCCCTCAGATAGTCAGGTGTAATAATGCCGTAGGTGCACTTGTAATGTTTAGGTGTCAACGCTGCGCAGTTCCTAGTGCGGCTGTAATCTGTTTGGGCCGACCGCCCCTGACGGTGCCGCTTTGCTCATCCAACAGACCACCAGATCTGCGCGATGGTTCAACCCAAGTAAACCCAACAGAAGGCAGCGAAGGAGATCCACCATCCGTCGGCGCCTCTCGAGGCTCGGCACAAGCAGCGCGCTCCATCCACTGCAGAGAGCCGAGCGCCGCCGGAGGAGAGCCGGAGTCCCCGCCCTGCGCCTCCAGAACCCCCGCCGGCTTGGACGTGTTTCGAACCAGGACGATATTTCGATTCCCTCGGCGCTCGTCCAGCGGATATTTCTCCTTAGAGGGCGACGTGCTGCCGAGCCCTCCGCCCTCCCCGAACCCTGCGACGGCTGACAAGTCCACGCAGACTGCCAGCCCCACCGGCCAGGTGATGGACCACGCCCTGCAGAGAATGTCTGTGGAGCAGGGAGGAGGAGCCGGGACGCCCCGGGCGCACGGTGAGCACAGCCACTCACAACACATCTGCGGGAGCTTTCAGTGCACGGATCCTCATAAAGGAAAAAAAAACAACTAAGAAATAACGTTACTTTCATAAAACGTACACATTCTGCATAGGAGTGATCAAATAAAACATCTGGCCTGGATTGCTTCAGTCATCCCCAGTAAATTCTGATTTTCATTATTTCTGAGGCTGTGTTAGTTTTGTGTAAAGAGTTTAAAATCATTGTTTCCCCTCCTGCATGACTCGTGCACTGCAGGCTGTTTTCACTGGCTGCTGCTTCTGTTTAGGAGGGAAACCCAAACCCATTGAGCTCACTGGTTTCTCACGAGAGATTCAAGAATTTTAACAATGATAGTAAAAAGTGGAATGAAAACAAACCGCTTCTCGTTCTTTTAGATGCTTTTCTTTCGTATCAGTAAAGCAGACTCGTGCTGTCTTCACATTATTCTGTTCGTCTTCCCACATTGGGCCTTTAAGAGTAATCCATCATGTTTACTGGTAATGATCACTGTTTAGGGCTGCCAAAACTCCGGTGATTCCCATGTTTTCATTCCACTGCAAACTGTTGCGTAATAGTGACAGTCTTTAGTAAAATATTACCAAACCTGTGTAAACTCTCAAGCCTGGTGGAAAATGAAACTTTTGCACAAAATGTTAACAAATGAAGACATTTATTGTGCTTCTAATATTATTTACTATGAGATCTGGAGTAGTTTGTGTATTTCTTGGAGTTTGTTTGAACAAAGCAAACATTGCTTAATGTTTGGAAACAGAGAGAGGACCCTCAACTCGCCACAAACTACACCGAAACGTGTGTGTGTGTGTGTGTGTGTGTGTGGGGGGGGGGGGGGGGGTATAACACACGAGGTTTCTTTACTGATACAACTAGGGATGCACAGATCCACATTTTCTGAAACACTTCCAATCCCGATACCTAAATCTGGACATCGGCCAATCCCGTTCCGATATCATCATCATCATCATCATTGATTTTATATGAGGCTGTAATAATCTCCTCTCAAGTACAATTTGTACAAATATATGCATGCATGTCCAAAAAGGCAAATTGAGGTAAGTTTTAATAATGTTGGACAAGTTTTAAAGTTAGAATTAAATCCTGCTAACTCAAAACGCGTTTTTTTTTTTATTCCTTACTTTAAAGTGGATATTAAAGTGATTAAAAGGCTTTAAACATCTGCTGCTAGTGGTGTAACGGTACACGTGGGTGTATTGAACCGTTTTAGTACGGCACGTTCGGTTCGGTCCATGTGCGCACCGTTTCGGTTATTTTTTCACTCATTAAATTTTATTAACAAGCGATTATGCGCCGCGGAACTAAAGTTCCGATGCGTGTTTCAGCACGGCGCTATTATCTTGCAGCACACGTAGCATTAGCAGCCTAGCATGTCGTTGTGGTCTCCTGTTTGGGAACATTATGGCTTTCTTGTTAAAAGACAAGTGGACAAATCCAAAGCCGTGTGTCGACGTTGTTTCACGGAGATTGAATCTGCAGCAGCAACACGTCTAACTTGTTAACGCGCTTGAAACAACATCATCCGAATGTTAACGTCTCTTCTAGCAGTTTGGTGCAAAGACCGATAACAGCAGCATTTAAACAATCTTTATCAGGCAATTCAGATCGGTGCAGAGCAATAACACAAGCTGTAGGAGTTTTTAAAGCTCTGGATGTACGTCCAAATGTTGTTGATGCGCCGGTTTTAAGCATGAAGTTCTTGAGCCCCGCTACGACGTCCCATCGCGTCAACACTTCAGCCAAAAAGTTGTAGCAGCACTTTATGAAAAGGCTAAAACTGATCGTCAACAAGCCCGACCCCAGATTTAATGCTCTGCCACATCAATGATGAGCGAGAGGATATTCAACCACCTCATATGATGATCGTGCAAGAAAAGGTATTGTTATTGTATTATTATGATCTAATTAACTTTTAAGTTTAAAATGATCATCTTATTAACTCAATTGTTTTTATCTCGTGTTATTTGCAGTCTGAGGATGATATTAGTGGAGTCCTCTTCATCCACCAGATCACCTCCAGCTAAGAAGTCTGTAATGACTGAACTTGTTTACTTGGCATATTTTCAAAATAAACATTTTGTAGGTCTTTATTTTGGCTTTTTTGTACCGAAAATTAACCGAACCGAGCCCTCCTTGACACCGAACCGAACCGAAATGTGATTTTAGCGTACCGTTACACCCCTATTCATGGCATAAACCAACACAGACATATTCCTGTTTTTAGTATTTTACATGGCTTTATAATGTAGCTGTTTTTGTTTCATTGTTTTAATATAACTTTCTTGTATTTTTCAATTCATATGCTTTTTTATGATCGTCTACTGTTGTCCTGGAGGGTCAACGTAAACTATATCTTGGCTGCAAGTATTCAATCAAACCGCAAAATCTTTTGTTTTCTACAAGTGACAGTGGTTGGTCATTAATTACAATGAAGTTTAGCAACTTCTCGG